GGGGCCGCTTTTGCGGGAATGAACATCTCTAGTCAGCATTAACACGCGCAAAGAAAGAAATCAAGCCCGATCGATCAAAATAGTGAATGTGGGACGCTAGGCCTAGGCCAGTCTCCAATACGAGAACAAACATCCGTACAGGACTTCCGAAGGGGGCGTACTTGCGGCAGTTGTTTGTTGCGAACTACGTCCGTTGATGAGATCTTCCTCTAAACATCTCTGTAAGCTCAAAACCACTCGTACTCATAAAAGTTGACGAGCTCAAAGAGTAGATTGTTGGGCTAGTTGGTTTTGGAATTTGGAATACATTTTAGCGCTCAAAAAACAGGGACAAAGAGGCGAGAAACAGACAGCACAAGCGCACTGTGCTGTCTGTTTCTCGCCTCTTTGTCCCTGTTTTTTGAGCGCTAAAATGTATTCCAAAGAGCTCAAAGAGCTTCGCTCCCTCAGCACTCTGCAGACGCCGGTAACTATGTTTGTGAACGTTTCCAACCAAAGCGGGAAATGGAATCTCAGAATACATTTGAAAACAATAATGAGTCTACTTCGATTATTTGCTTCTCAAACACAAAAGTATAATCGATTGAAATAATACTACTGCAAGGAAATACAAATTTACAACCAACCTTTCACACGTCAATCATCTCTCAAGCCATTAGAGAGTTTTAGTAGATCGTTCCGATACCTCCGATATACCCGATAACGATACTATGCATGCGCAAGTGAGGCGGTGGCGGAGTATCGGGGTATCGCTATCGAAGTCATGGGAACTATCTACTAAAACTCCCTATTGAGAGATGTAAGCACCTTGTAAGCTCGGGGCCGTACTTAGTGGGCTGCGACATACACCTTATGCGCCTAAATTGCTTGTAACGGCATAAATATTGCTTTAGAAGTTTCGTGTGCCGTCGTATGCCCTTAAAGAAAAGCTTCTTTTCTTTGAAGTCTCCTTTTAAAGGGACCAATCAATCAGCTTCAAAAACGCAAGCCAATGGGGCTTTTTCTGTTTATAATTGGCTTAACGATAATAGACCGCGTAAAGACGGATGGCGAACACCGTGATGGCGCGCTTTTGACGGTGTCTGATTGGTTCAATCAACTCGTAGCGTCGGATACGTCTGGAGTTAGGCTAAGACGAAGTTTTCTTTTTTTTTTATAGATTCAGGATAGCAAAGAACTGAAACCATTGGTATCGTTTGCCATTGAATGGCGGAAGCCTCCTGCCCAGATTGATCGCAAGTGAGCATGCTTTGTCACGTGGCGACGGGACCGCGATGGACCGCGGAGGAGGCTGGTAACCTCCTCTGCGGTCGAACGTGAGGCGACACGGGCTATCGGCGACGCGGCTGCTCGCTTCCAGCACGTCGGTTCCTGGTTTTTTACGCGTCCGAGGCTTTCTGAGGGGCGAGTTTGTCTCGGGAGCAGACGCGGAGCAGGAACCTGTCGGAGGGTGTTGGCGGGATTAATTGGTTTCATCATTCCGGCGCCTAGGGTTAACCAGTTCTGAAATGAAGCTCACGAGGAGCTGCCCCGGATTAGCTACCCACGTCTCTTTCGAAGATTGCTTCGTGGCTCGCTGGCAGATTAGGATACGCTGGGCCTTGCGATTCCCGAGGTATTAACAGGGTGACTGATTCTTCTCAAAGAAAAAACCGGATACATTCCTTTGTACGCGGAACACGGCGTCATTCTCGAGCAATTTCACGTGCGACGCAAAAAAGGCCCTTACCAGTAACTTGGGTGGCTTGCGCGCGAGGGTTAACAGGGAGTTTAAATTTTTGTCCGTTTTTCTGCGTTTTTTTTTTTTATTTTGGTACTAGTTTTTTTTTTAATCCAAGCGCACACCAGTCACAAAAACAACTCTCCTCTTAATTTTTTTTCATTTTAATTTTGTCGATTTTGGTTTTCTAGCATTCTGCGGATCGCAAGCACGTAGTCATTTTTTCGTTCCAAATGAAATTTATTCCGTCGAAAATAAAATATAATAACGAGACCGCTCTCGAAATAGGCTTCGTTTTATCGTTCCGGAATAGAATCCGAACCGGAGGATCGAGTTCGCGAAACTTTTAACTTTGCATTGCGCCTCGAAGTAAAACGAGAAGAACTTGAAGAACTTCGACACAGGTTGCTTTGTTCTTCATTTTATAGAGAAAATAAAGTTCACAAAGTTACCAGAACGAATTCAAAATGCGGAAACGTGCCTCGGACGCCTGAATGCTTCTATGTGGTTAGAAACTGAGGGAGAGGAGGAGCCTGGAGGGGACGTGAGAAGGCCGAGCTCTGATTGGCTGATCGCGACCCCCTATCTGAGCGTCGTCTGCTCCTTTGCAACGTCGTCTGCTAGCTACGTCGTCTGCGTCTGTCTCGCCTTTCCTGCGACTTTCGGAAGTGCAGAGGCCAGGTTCACAAAACGATCTTACGCCAAAAATATGCGTAAGACAAAGCTTGAGAACAAATTCGTATGCACGAAACGAAATTTTTGTAAGTTTTGCGCAGGTTACGACGAAATCCTACGACAGCTCCGAAGCTGTCTTACGCACTTCTTACGATCAAATCAGCCTGGCCGACAGCGTCGCGGTCGCGACGACCAACGAACGTTTAATTTTCTACGTGCGCTTCTCACACGTTCCGACTTCAAGCAGCAAAAAAAAAAGTTAAAAGTACTTGAAACAGACCACGACGAACAAGAACGCTGGATCCACAAACACCCGCGAAAATATCCAACGGCCACGATTCCACCGACAACGACCAAGCGAGCACGGCAGATAGGCCTAGCAGGCACTCCGACTCGGCAACCGTCTGCCCGAAAGGATGGCGTGCTGAATGGAATATGCCCGCGCGACCCTTGTGAAACCTTCCCGTATTATACATTGATCGCTGACCTCAATTTTAGATTAAAGGTCAATCTCTTCCTCTTGTCATCTCCCTGTTTTCTGAGGCAGCGGTGACACTCGCCGGTGAAAAAGTGGTGAATCTCCGACAGACGCAGGAAAGATGAAGCAGCCGTCGCTTTGACTAGCAGACGCAAAGCAGACGACGTTAACTGCGCCAACCCGCCGACGCCGTTAAAGAGTGAGGGATCTCGCCGCACACGAATGGAGGGAAAAAGTATTTGGGAGGGAACTTGCGGACACTAACCGCCCTCACTCTCGATTCTTAGCAAACAAACCTCGGCGCCTCGGGACACCTCGCCAGTGAGTCCTATGACCTCCTTCCTTGATGCGCGTCTGCTAGTTGTTAGTACCGCTCGAGTTATTTCGTCTGCCCTTGCTGAAAGGCAAAGTCGAGCTCGCTCGTAAAGACCTGCACTTCCGAAAGTCGCAGGAAAGGTAAGACAGACGCAGACGACGTTCCATAGGAGCAGACGACGCTGAGATAGGGTGTCGCGATCAGCCAATCAGGGCTCGGCGTTCTGACGTCACCGCTACTTCCTTTCTCATGCGCAGAAGACGACAATGAGCCCACTTGCGAGGCGTATAGTCTCGTACAATCGCGATACATTGAAGTAGGAACAGCGGAGCTCGTGGCTTTCTGTACATGCCGCGCAGAACGGCGACGGGCTAGGGAAGGTTGCGCACGCGCAGTAAGGTCAGAGATACGAGGACTCTCGTTCAACTATGCCTCGACCATCGCTCGGTGTGCAAGCGCTTTGTCATGGCGCGCCGCGGCGCCGAGACAGAGCGTCTCCTCAACGTTGCTGCGGCGACAAGCTCTGCTCGCATATATCGCAGCACGCAGCCCCCAACTTTGTTCTTCTTACAGCGCATACAAGAACAACACCGCGAGCTGAGATAATGGCGGCGCGAACCTGGCGAACGGGCCCCAATAGCGCCAAGTCAAGTGTTCACACACCGAGCGATGGTCCAAGGCCACGTCGAGGTATATCATAGTTGGACGCGAATCCTCGTTGTCTCCGCTCTTACTGCGCATGCGCAACCTTCCTTGCCCGTCGCAAGGCTGCGCAGCATGTAAAGAAAGCGAAAGGTACAGCGCGTACCTTAGGCCTTTTATGTTTAAAAGGCATAAGGTATTGGCTCAGCGATGATAGAACACGTACAGAACCTCTAGACTGCATCATGAACCAACTAGGCCAACAACAAGTTTTAAATGAGGAACACCATGACGGTGTCCTTTTGACGTTCTCGGATTGGTTCCATCAGCTCGTAGCGTTGGCTACATCTGGATTAAAGGCCCGTTTACACATTTGCAACTTCTTAAAGCCGAGTGCCTTGAAACCCTTTAAAATCCCTTACGACGAGGTGACACACTGGCGCCATCTATTGGGTAGCAGCGGAAACTTGGCGGTCTCACATATTTTTTTATTTGGCACATATAACCATTAGACTCAAAAGGCAGGCTCTTGTAATTTAAGCCCAAAATAGTTAAATAATTTTTTTTAATTCAACAAGAAACATGTTTTAAAGCGGAATAGACAAAACGAAGTGTCAAAAAACAAGAAACACTGCGCTAGCAAAAATATTGTTAACATTTTATATTATAAATTTAAAAACCAAACATTTATATAACGAAACGCGACTCGTAAGTCAACTTGATTAATGGAAACTTTGTAGCTTCCTAAAGTTTAATTTAGAGCCGCTAAATTAAACTTAGATGGTCTTTCTTTTTTTTTCTCGTTAGCAGAGCGGGTAACAATAATCCAAGAAAGAATGCGCAGATTCCAGCTCGGGACGTGTCCTAGGAATTTTCTAATCGAGTACACCTTAAAGAATGAACCACCGACTAACGCTTTTGACTGTAAAGTATTTCCTCCTCCTATTTATCAACAGACCGCATACCGGCGCGTTTATCCAAATAGGAGATGTCGTTGACGGGTTGAGTTGCACATGTGACTTCCGCAAAATGCGAAGACCGTTTTGTGGAAATCAGCGGATACCACCTTAAAGGGGTAGGGAAACAAAATATTAGCACTTATTTCTTTGCTTAGATGTTGTAGCAGTCAGCGAGGCATCCGGTTCAGCGGGCAGGAAGCAAGTGCTTCGTCTTTATTGTCGTCTCTCACTCAGTGTGGCGGTGGCGCTAGTATCAAGACTGTTACATCTCCCTTTCTTTGGACTATGAAAAACCAACAAGAAATACATACGAAAATAAACAAAATACACAAAACACGAAATATAAAAAGCAATAACTCAAAAGCCCGTTAAGCTTGCTGCTGGAAGTTCTGATCGTAGTTTAGCCTTTGGGGTCGCCGCACAGTTCGGGTTGATGTCCGAGCAACACATGGTCTAAGTTCACTAGCCAGATCATCCTCTGTTCTCGCTGTGGAGTTGACTGCAGCTGGGGAGTTGGTCGGAGTTCTCGTTGAAGTAGCGACTGTGGTTGGGATGGCTGGATCATCATGCTGCACTGTTGGGGTCCATGCAGCCGGTGTAGCTTGAATGCTGGTCAGGGCACAGGCTGGGGAATCTTCCAGGTGCTCCTCAAAGTGATCGGAACTCTGCAGGTCTTCATTCGTTGGTCGCAGGTGTTCTCTGTTGCGTCGATATTCCCGGCCATCCTGCGTGACAACCAGTGAAGAACGAGGCGCCACGTTCCTTAACACGTGGCCCTTTGTGACCCACTGTCCTTTGTCCCTCAGACGTACCACGTCACCTTCCCGTAGTGGCTTCAAAAAACATCCTTTAGTGTTATCCTGTGTGTGTTTTCTGGCTGGTTTTGGAACTGCTGGCGTGAAGTCAGGAAGACGGGACCTAATGCGGCGTCCCATTAGAAGCTCGCTGGGGCACTGGCCATCCTCCAGGGGTGTAGACCTGTAACCAAGCAATCCCAGCCAGAAGTCTTCATTAGCTTCAGCAGTTTTCCGCAGTATTCGTTTTACCACTTTCACACCCTTTTCTGCAAGTCCGTTGGAACGTGGAAAATGCGGACTGGACGTGGTGTGCTTAAAATCATACTTCAAAGCGAAACTCTGGAACTGACGTGACGAGAACTGTGGACCGTTGTCGCTGCACACCTCTAGAGGTATCCCGTGTCTAGCAAACATGCTGCTTAATGTCCAAATAATAGTTTCTGATGTTGCCTCTGTGAGCCTCTCTACCTCTGGGAAGTTCGAAAAGGCATCATAGGCAACTAGGTACGTGTTCCCCGCCTGCTCAAAGAGGTCAACACCAACACGCGTCCATGGTAAGCCCGGAACCTCACGCATCATTAGTGGCTCGTTCGGTTGCTTGTACGCAAACTGTTGACAGATTGAGCACCGGTGAATCATTCTCGTGATATCTTCGTTAATGCCGGGCCAGAAAACTAGCTGTCTTGCTTGTGCTTTACACTTATTGATACCAAGATGGCCATCGTGTATCCTCTCGAGTATTCGCTGGAGCATGGTCTCTGGGATCACCACCTTTACGCCCTTAAACAAAACTCCAGATACTTCTGTTAATTCCCCGGCGAAAGGTTTGTACTGTCCATGAATAGGGAGGGTTTCTCGGAGACAGTTAATTACGTTCGTGAGGACAGTGTCCCGAGCAGTTTCACGCACGAGCTGAATCTTAGTTGCTTCGCTTACGAGTGTGTGCTGAAGCTCCAATGCATGCACCTCAACATCGGTTAGTTCTGTGCCGCTTGGCTGCCCAGAGGGAAGTGCTCTCGAAAGGACGTCTGGAACCACCAACTCTCTGCCAGGGACGTACGTCAGCTGGAACTCATACTTCATGAGCCTCAAGAAGAAACGCTGCAAGCGCGGTGGCATATCTCCTACACTGTTAGCAAAAATAACACGCCCAGACGTGTAAACCGTTGTCCCATAGCGGACACGTCGAAACGTGTTCGTTTTACACGGAGTCATCTGTGTTTTTCGTCTACACATGAGGTGCTGTGTAAAGTTAACACGCTACACCGCGTTTGCCTTCCGAGAAGCACGGTTCAACGTGTTCCTTATGAAACATGGCGGCCAGCAGCCTAGAACAGGCGAGGGACGAGCCCAGCCAGCCGCGCCTTTCAGCCGAACTGAAAGCATACAGGACGCGTTCGTTCTCGTTCGATGTCTTTTATGCACAGTAAACAGTCTCCGAGCGGCGGACGTAGCTACGTGCAAAGGTACCTACGTGCATCGTCGGCGGTCGGTGGCGTCGGCAGCTACGACAAAACCGCTAGACAAAAACAAAAAAAAGAATATTGAACTTACATGGATAAATAGCTCAAGCAAACTCTTGTAATCGGGCGGTAACTTGCGCCACCTAGTGCGATTTCTAGCAACCAATGAAAAAAAAGCAGGAGTCGGTTAATACGCTGGGAACTATCACGAGTAGACTGCTACTCTACATACATCACAGACAACACGAGCACCACATAGGACACAGCAGCGACACATACACAAACACAACACCGACACTACGCCCGACGCTTCCTACTAACAACGGACTCTCCCCGCGGCGTATATATGCTTGACATGTACGGGTGAGCTCTTTGGTCGCTGACCGTTACCGATTTATAGAAGAAGACACAAAACACGGCAAAATGGACAGCCGTATGTAAGAACTGTTTGCATTTAAAAAGTATGGAGGCAAAATCTGTAAAATTAGTCCTTTGCGAAAAACAACGATGTACTAACAATAAATTTTAAACCGGCCATGAAAAAGTTCAAATTTTTGTTATTTTCATGCTCGACCAGTGTTATGAGCAGTCCGACTCGCTTGAATCAGATAGAAAAACAAATGATTGAGATTTTATCAGTACGTATTCAATAATCAATGGAAATTATACTTGCGCAAGGCATTTTTTATATATATTATTATGAAGGACATCCGCCCAACACTTCACTTCCGCTAGTTGTTGTACGCGTACGGGAGCAGACGCCTTCACTTTTGGGGCGTTTTGATGCAGTTTGTTGTCGTATGTCGTGTTGGTGTCGAGCGAAGCGGTGAGGCTTGGGAGTTTGTGACCGGTGTTATTCGTGATCATTAATGTGGCGCTAATGCGTTTTTTTTTTTTTTTTTTTTTTTTTTTTTAATATTTCTATATAGCCACATTGAAAATTCACGAGCCCGTGGCACTGCATTATGCTAAAATCGCGAGCTCCTTCTCTGTTGACGTCGTTTTTCTGGTAGCACTCGTGGATACTGCAAGCGTTTAAACAGTGCACAGTCTCGCCTACATCCGCGATGACGTACTCGACCTCTTGAAACTTATTGCTTGCGTCATTTTGGAGTACGCAACGCAATTATCTCGCTGCTCAGGTTTCGGTTATAAAAGCAAGGCAAAACGCTCGTGGTTCCCGCCCTCAGTACACGTTGGACATCTTCCACACTGGATAACTGGATGAACGAGGATTTACATTTACCTCAGAGGTCACACTCGCCGCTTCCTCACCGTCGAGCAGCAGGATCAGCTGGCGACAAGCCGCGTATGAAAGGCTCGAGCATCAACAGCCCAAGTGCACTCGGTGCCGATGCGGGCGATGCGGGTTTCTGTCAACCGCTAGCCCAGCACAGACCGTGACCGTTCCAGCTCTTCGTCATGACGCGGTGTTGCAGAAAGCAGCGTATAATACCACTACACGGACCACCGAAGCGAACGCACTGTTATCGTAAATCTTGGCTTGTGATTGCGCCTAAATTTGTAAATAATCTTATTCTTTCTTCTGGAGACGGAAACGAAGGGTATAACAAAATCGTTTGCATATTCCGCATACCTCGCAAAAGCATCAGTCACCTTGCGAGAAGCGCAAAACACGGTGTCCGCACCGTCCTGGCTTCCCAGTCTTTTACCTGCTTTAGAGCAGTTTGTACCTGTTAGTAGGTATGTCTACTGAAACTGCAACTTGAAACTTGGGGCAGTGCCAGAGGGAAAAGATACACATTCGGGCCTCTTCCCAATGTAAAGAAAAACCACTATGTTCTCTACGTAAAAAATTGTCTCAGTTCATGCATCTGTGGGCAGGTAGAAAATCTTGCCCTAGTTTATTCACACCGCATGATGAGCGCAACAAACTCACACGAGTCACACGAGATTTACAGGAAAACATCTGTGGTGACTTAGTTTCCCTGGAATTATGTATAACCGGTCGTTTGCGGGACCGAATCATCTACTCGAGCGGTGCGTCGCTGTGCGAACACGTCGCTGTGCAAATGCAGTCTAACGACACGAAACATAGAAACGGCAGATTTAGGGAAACTATCCGAAGTCCCTTGTTCAATTCAAACGACGTAATTTTGTTGAAAACGTCCGCAGCATTTTACTCACGGTATGCGTCGGGAATCTTCCACATTTTGAAACGGAACGAAGGAAGATTTACTTTTATGAACGCTCGCTGCGTCCTCCCCGACCAGCTGGACCGGATCAGCTGACGACGACGGGGCTAAACCCATCAAACGCAACCCCACAACAACCAATATGAGCTCCGCGTTAGTGCGGGTTTCTACCTACAAGCACCGCACCACACACCACGAACGTTTCGGCCCTTTCTCGCATCGCCGTGTTGCCCCAAACAGAACGAGATCGCCGAAGAACGCAGCGCTGTCGTGAACCTTGGCTTGTGGTTGCGCACTCGTGGACCCTGCGACTCCCCTCGCTTTCAAAGCACACACGACGAATGGTACTTTCCGTCTTCCGGGAACGACACAGGGGCACTTCTCCGGTCACGTCTTCACTATGTGCTCGCAAACTGCGAAGCTCTATGCGAAGCTTCTCGCGTCCCGTCAAACCAAAACAATAGCGGCTGCCAGAAATTTCTCCGGTCAAACAAAAAGAACGGAAGCCAACCGGCTCTTGCTTCCACCGTACATCGACGTTAGATCGGCCAGATCGCTTGCAGTTGAAGCAGTTGAAGGTTGAAGCAAAAACGAAACCAACTGCAATGTCACGTGTTCACATCGAAGACACGCTTTTTATATCCATTTTAACTGTTTTGAACGAATAATTGGACCCATGACTTTATTTGTGGTGTGTAAGAAACTATTATCAAGAGCCCTAAACTAAATGCAAACATGGGCGACATGAGGGAAGCCGTATTGCCATCGACCAGAAAATGGCGGCGAGCCACGGTAAGCGCGGGTTTCGCCAACGTCCCGCGACATGGCGTAATTGCTTTTGGTGCATATCTGTTTCCGAGACATGTTTCTTTCCGCGGCATTTGTCTCGACGGTCCTTTCTAAGTGTGTCCCCAAGCATTCCGGTGCTTCGATAGCCGGCAATGCCGCGGTCGTCGCCGGAGGCGATGCGTGTTATCGAGGTCGGCTACACGGTTATGCGTGTATGACCGAACCAAAACACGTTTTTTACAACCTCGCATGATATCTGAACGTATTATCCGTTACTCATCGTGTAAATTTATGGTAATTTGTGTAAATAGCGTGTTTTTCACCCCAAATATTCATCAAATACACGGCACTTGCTAACAGTGTACACTTTTTTGTGCGATCGCAATCAGAGGCTTATGATCAGTTTCCGCTATAACTCGCCGTCCGTACATAAAGTGGTGGAATTTTTCAAGACCATAAGTGACTCCGAGAGCCTCTTTTTCAATTTGCGAATAGCGTGTTTCCGCACTAGACAAGACTCTTGAAGGGTAGGCCACTGGTTTCCATCCCTCAACATGTCGTTGTAAGAGCGCCGCGCCTATCCCATATTTTGAAGCATCCGAAGATACTTTCGTGGGTTTTGCCGGATCAAAGAGTGCGAGCACTGGGGTTGTAGATATGAGATTTTTCAAGTGTTCCCATTCCATTTGGTGTGCGTCAGACCACTCGAACACTGAGCTGTCTTTAATAACTCCGCGCATTAACGTTGTCCTCAAGGACAAGTTAGGCAAAAATTTACCAAAGTAGTTTGTAAATCCCAATAATATTTGCACTTCTTTCTTACTTACTGGTTGTGGAAAATTGTGAATGCTCTTAACGAGAGCTGGGCTTGGGGAGATTCCATTTTCATTAATAACGTCCCCCAAGAACTCAATTTCCTTGCGGGCGAGTTTGCACTTGCTCATGTTGAACGTGAGACCCTCTTGACTGGCTCTCTGCAGTACAGCGCGTAATCTGTCATTGTGCTCGGCCTGTGTTCTACCCCACACCAGGATGTCATCGATGTATACTCGAACTCCGGGTAAACCCTCAAGCATTTGAGACATGGTCTTCTGAACTACTTCTGGTGCAGAAGCTATTCCAAACGGTAGCCGGAGGTACTGGTATCTTCCAAATGGAGTAGCAAATGTGCAGATTCTCGTGGTCTCATCATCTAACGGTATTTGGTGAAACCCGGAATTTGCATCAAGGGTTGAAAACCATCGTGCATCAGAGAGCTCTGCCTCAATGTCTTCCCTTTTGGGAAGTTGGTAATGCTCTCCCTTCACCCACTCGTTTATGTTCCGGGGATCCAGACATACCCTGAGCTGTCCGTCTTTTTTTAGCGCAATAACCAAAGGACTCACCCAGTCAGTTGGCTCATCCACTTTCCGGATAACGTTGGCGGCGGTTAAGCGCTGCAGCTCCCTCTCCAGTGGCTGCCGCAAAGCTTGAGGGACTCGCCGGGCTGCTTGCACCGTTGGCCTGGCTCCTTCCTTCAGCACCATGTGGTATGCCCGTTTCACACAACCTAACCCCTGGAACACCTCGGGGAATTCGGAGGTCACTGCGCTCAAGTTATCGCAGGAAACTGCCGAAACGCGATTCACGAGTCCAAGGAGTTCACTGGCCTGGAGACCGAGAATGGGAGCCCGCGACTTTTTTACAATGAAGAACTCGGTGAGTTCTTTTGTGTTGTTGCACTCCACAGTCAAGGATGCTTTTCCTGCGTGTGCAATTATGCCGCCACTGTAACTGCGCAAAATTGCCGTGCTCCTTCGCAAATCCGCACTCCTGCCTGCTCGTTTCCACCACGACAGTGGCAACAAGTTTGCTTGGGCTCCAGTATCAATCTTCAGCATGATATCCTTATCAGCTACCTTCGCCGGTATCAGCCACTCTGCTTGATTACTTGCAGAAGTGCGTGCTCCCACCTCCAGAATTTCAAAGTCACTCCCGGCATCCGCGGCTTGATCGTCGTTTTCGTTAGTTATCGCGTTCACCCGTTGCTTCGGACAGCAAAACGCGAAATGACCTCGGCGATGGCATCTCCTGCATCCTTTCCCTGTTGCTGGACAGCTTGTTCCTTTGTGAATGAAGTTACACTTCTGACAGCGGTCAGGTCTAGGTGGTGCTTCCACTGGCACCGTCGAACGTCTTTTAGTTGTCTGGTGAATACTCAGAACGGACTCTTCTGGCTTGTCCCAAACTTTGTTTTGTTTTTCTGCTATTTCGTTCGCTTTACACATGTCCACTGCTCTGGTAAGCGATAAGTCCTGCTCTCGCAACAGTCTTTGACGTAGTTTCTTGTTCGATATACCATACACTATCTGATCTCTGATCATCGAGTCTGCCAAACTGCCAAATTCGCAGGTCTTAGCCTTCAACAAAAGGTCTCTGTAGAATTGCTCAAACAGCTCACCTTCTGCCTGCTCTCGCATCCTGAATACGTAACGCTCGTACGTTTCATTCTTCTTGGGAGAACAGTAGTTATGAAACATTTCCACCACGGCCTCGTAGGTTTGCTCCCCCTCGACGTTGAAAGTGTCGTAGACTTCCAAGGCCTGCTCCCCGGCAACATGCAGCAACAACGCGATCTTCTGTCCCTCCTTCCTTTTGGCGGGTGGCTCCGTAGCTGTCATGAATATTTCGAACCGTTGCTTGAAACGCCTCCAGTTCTCAGCAACGTTGCCTGAAAACTGGAGCGGCTCTGGCGGTTTCAGTCCTTCCATGGCTGAGGCTACCGCAGGGCTTGTGATGACGTTCGAACGACTTCTGACACCATGTATCACTCGGCGAGGCATCCGGTTCAGCGGGCAGGAACCAAGTGCTTCGTCTTTATTGTCGTCTCTCACTCAGTGTGGCGGTGGCGCTAGTATCAAGACTGTTACAGATGTGGTCTATGTTGTGCCGGGAGCCCTGAAACACTAGTCTAGAGTAGTGTTTCTGGACTGCCGGCAGAATAGTCAGGAAAACAAATTTTTAAGACGAATGAACAAGTTCCAAGATTGTGCCTGGTGGCAGTCTGTGAAGCTCAGTTGGAACGCCGCCACGTCGCAGGCCCATAAAAAGTAGAGCCAGTTCGTGGCCCTATTGCTCGCTCGTGGAGTTACTTTGTCCTGAATGTCAATTCGCGGAAGACGTTATCGAGTTTACTACGTTCTATATTGCCGCCAGCGTGGCGGAGTGGTGAACGCACTTGGCCCCTGCGCAAAGTGTTCCAGGTTTCATGCCCGGGGGCCGCATATCAAATTTGTTAATTTGTTATAAAGTGTTTCTAGTTTATTCGAGAAGCTTCTCAATTGGTCTCGTTAGTTCCGGGTCAGAATTTTCTAGGGCCGAACATTCTGAGTTCGAGTGTTCGCGAAACTTCCCTCCTCAATAAAACAGGATCCGCGTGGCTGAAGGCTCTCAGTCTTTCGACAGCGTTTGATCTTGCCACTTCGCCATCATCGACGTTCGCCTTCGACGCCTCTTTTTACTCTTTTGTTCCGGCACAAATTTGCCTTATTAAACGTTTCGTTTCTTCGTCAGTCCCCATCTCGTGAATGCCTCGGTGACAATATGTTAAAGCTTCCACGGTGCTTCCGCAACGTCTATTCCACTCTCTCAAGATCGCCGTTCTTTGCAGACGATGGGTAGGAGCTTGATCTCAAAATGCTGGGACCTCTGCCAGAGTGACCACACCACACCATTTCATTCCCCCCCCCCCCCCCCCCTCCCCGGATGCGCTCTGAATGACGAGCTCGAGTATCGCTACCAGAGAATAATACATAGCTTGCAGGTGTCGCTACTGCTGGCTACTGTCAGTTTTTTCTACTTACTGGTTCTCTCGAGGTACTACTTCTGCGGCGTGAAATTAACACGGTGGAGCAAACGCTCGTGGCACATACACTGCTGGCATGGCCGCGAACGACGGTACGGGTAAGCTATGTATAAATAGACCGTAGGGCGCACAGTCCTTGGATATAACAACTGGGCGAGATCGTCACGCGTTGACGCAACCAAGCGGCAACATTCGCAACTACGGTACCCTCGATCGTGCAGGAGCCATTAACGCCACTAGCGCGATACCCAAGGCGCTTCTTGCAGGCCGATTTTGAAGCGAGAGGTGGAGAGCTCTTGGTCATATCATTCCGTTTCTGTACCCCTTTGAAGAGACCACGAAGTAATTTTTTAGCTTCTTCCTCTTTAGCTTTAATCCTTCACCATAGCCTCTTCTGTGCTGACGAAGCCTGGCAGATCGTCACGTGACGCGGCCGCCGAAAGTGAAAAGGCAGAGCGGCAGACAAGAGGCATGGAACGGCCGCCCCGCTGCGGCGAGACGCCGAAACACACTTGACACGTGCGATGGAATGTCCGCTCGTACTTCTCGTGTTCCTCGCGCTCCCGCTTCTTTTCCCGTCGGGTTTGAAAACCATGTTTCGGGTCCTCGCCGGTGCAAAAGCTGTGCGCTGAATACCAGGTTCCCCGAAAAATGCCCTGTGCAACCAGATCCTCGCGCTGCAAATCTGCGACAGAGCACTATATGGCTCTGTCATCGAACTGCCAGGCTTTCTGAGTAGAGAGGAGACTAGGCCTCAACTCAAGCGGGAAATGAGATATCGCATGGTCGTGACGTTCTTGGGCAACGGAGGCGGTGACTCCGAACTTCCACCGTGATTTTCAAGCACCCCACGCAACTTGTCATTCGCGAGTGGTATTAAGTTCCGTCACGTCAATCATCGTCCACGAACGAGAAATTCAGATATTCTTCTACGGGTCGATTGTCGACAAGCGCATACGTCCGAATGACGCAGTTCTCGTGTCCAATGCGTCATTTGGGTTAGGCTGAACGGCTGCGGCACCGCGGATGCATCACGGTGAAGAGGCAGAGCGATTTGCAGAGAAATGTGGAAAGAAATAGTCCGCTATATTTTCAAATCTTCGAAGGGGATAGCAGGCTTTTGGTCTTCTATCCTCGTGCACTAGTTTTCTTTTTGGCGCACTAAACGATATGCGATTCGTAAAATCCCAATTTGACCCAGCCCGAAATTCGTTTCATGGTCCCTTTAACACGGAGCTAAACTAAGGGAGACGAGGAGATGATCGAGAGGGCACGTCAGAGCACCCAGCTTTGCTTAGAACGGTTAGAGGGTAGACGTGAAGCTAGCTGTCTGTCTATACTCACTGTTCGGACGCGTTCGGACGCCGAACGCTGTCGTCCGTCGTTCGAACGCGGGACAGTGACCGAGGAGCGGACGACGCTCTCGTCAGCTCTGAATGGAGGGAGACAGTGTGCGGAGGCAAAGGCAGTCAGCTTTCGCGTCAACCCACTGATCATTTCAATCGAAGCTCAGCGCCCTGACGTCCACGCGAATTCTCTCACCTCCTCCTCTCTTTCGGTTTCTCACCGTGATATACATCGGAAACGCGCTTGCGCAGACATTTCAAAGGCTAATGTGGTCTCATCTAGAGACACTAAATGAGCTGCGCTTAGAGTATCGGCACTCCGTTCGCTGGCGTTGTTGTGGACGACGCCATTTTGGTGCTTGTGCAGGGCAGACACAAATGCCGATCGTCATGATTCAAAAGTGCGACTTCCTCAGCATTAGATGCGGTGTTTGGGGGGATCGGTGGCCGAGTGGTCTAGCGCACACCAGCTCGGAGCACGTGGAGCGAAAGCTCGCGCTGCAGAACCCAGGGATCCTGAGCTCGAGCCCCACCCCTGCCCGTTTCGATCTGGATGAGCATCGTGCCGGCGTGCGGTCGTGTATCACTACTGCGTGGTGCACGTTAAAGACCCCAGGCTAGCGGCTGTACCGCACTGGCTCAAATTCTCATCTACAGCTGGGAGACTCGTCGCCCCTGTGAAGGCAGACCAAGTTCTAGGCTGTATAAACACACACACAACCCAATTATAGATGCGGTGTTAAAAAGCTCATACTCATGCGCGAACTGTTTAAACATTAGTGGAGGACGGAAAAGCGTTTCCTGTGATTTCAGATAAAGCTTCAGATAAGTGGCAACCATGATTTTAAGCCACGATATGGCCAAGTGTCGTTACTCTGAAGCTTAGCAGCTTATTTAGTGGCAGTAATGTTATCCAGGCGTCGTTTGCAATGCCGGTTGCATAAGCGAACATCGCTGGCAATTTTTCGTTTTCATAAAATTGTGCATTACTCAGGAAAACAACTGGGGCCGTGTTTATGATCGCTGCCGGGGGGCCAGTTTAGTGAGGTCCGTACCGTTTCGGATAATTGAATCCTTAATTAGTTTGGCATAATGCAATATTTTATTTTTTAGTAAAACTTAAAACAAAAATGAAACAACTAACGGTTACAATTAGAGCTCTGCTGAGCGCCGTGGAAAACCACTAAATCAGCAAAAAGAGAAAAACCTTTGAGCGTTTGGGAAACGCGGTTGTGCGCGAAAGTTATGGTTTGTGCTACGAGCGCGAGGCTGACAGAGCAAAAATACCGATGATCAAAACCGGACAAACCTCGTTGACGCGTTGAATTTGGACGCGTATTCGAGTGACGAGTCCCAGAAAAAACAACGCGCGCACTCCAAATATTTCTAAAATCAACTTACTTAAAAAAAAAAATCAGATTTTTTAAAATTATTTTTTTATATTCGTTTATTGAAAGGATGATTATGAAAATAAAATTCAACACGTACCAACCTATAAAAGTATGTACTACGCCAAAAGATAATACTCTTCGCAGCGACCCGTGTGGTATCAGCCTTTATTTTGTGCGATGCGTTGTTTTTTCACAAAAAAACTCTGGCCTGGTTTCGTTGCAACAGCAGGTGCACTGGGGCCTTGAGTGACACGCTCTTCTTTGATTAAATGAATTTTTTTATAGACCTTCGACTTTATTGTTTGGAGGCATTTTTTAGGGGAATTGTTTGTAATCGAGGCGTTTTTCAACGTCGTAATTCACTGACTTTATTCCGCATATTCCTTATTTATGCTGCACTTTGTGTAGAAATATTCGAACGGGTATGTTGTTGGCGAAGGCAATGTGCACATAAGCTTATAGTAGTATCAATAGTACAACATTTTGAAGGCAAAACAGGGGACGGCAAACCTCGAAATATTAGCTCTAAAATTTAAGACCTTATTTTCCGGGCAATACTGCGCAACCGGAGCATAGTTAGCAGCTTGTGCAAAACCCGCAGGTAAAAGAAGCTGTCATACACAGCATACCTAAAAAAATACCTGTTTTATTAGCCAAAAAAGTGCACGTATCGTAAAAAAAAAATTCATTAACATAATATGTTATTCGCAACATTTTTCGCGTGTAGTCGAATAAAAAATCTAGAGCAAATAAAAAATTAAATAATTCTTGAGTACGCACCTGTACATAGGATGCACCGCATAAAACTTAAACGTTGAATAATAATAATAATAATAATAATAATAATAATAATAATAATAATAATAATAATAGTAAACTTTTATTCATAGGAATAAACAAATACATTACAGGTCTGCTTAAGCCAAGGGAGGCTTGCGTGGCATG